AAGAGACCCTCTCGACTCCCACTGCCCCTCACGGCCGCTGGCGACCGTCGTGCCCTCCCGCCTGCATGCAGCTCGCTCTCTCCACTGACCTATCAAGAAGCTCCCAATTTCGTAGGTCCACCACTCGATGCAGATCATGAGCATGCTGGGGATAGCCAGCGAGGTGAAGCTGTCCCAGTCCAGGAGGCACTCCATGGACCAGCCTGGGGAGAAGATATGAGAAACGTTGCCTGATGGAGGACTGAGTTTTGCATCTCTGAGTGTCCGAGGCAGCCACCTGCACCTTTCATGCCGTGACCCCTATGCAAAGCCCCCAAGTCAACCATCATCAGCACAGCAGAATCTCATCACTGTGCATATACGTGCTCTGCTGCTGCAATTGCCTGTACCCATGGAGCTGGGCACCTTCATTTGACCTCTCTAGGACCAGAGCATCTAAGGAGAACCTCACGTGCATGTCCGGGTGCTCCTGCTCTGGGACCAAACCCAACAGTGCTTCAGCAGACACTTTCAGACTTCAGGAATTAATGTTTACTGCCGGCGCAGCAGGGCGCTCCTGGCACGCACCACGCAGAGGTTAATATTACACCTTTAGCACTAACAAGATGCACTCGATGGAAACGGTGGAAGATTTATGGACATTCATGCAAAGCAGGAGCCCAGTGGGCTGTGGGAAGGCGTCTTACCTCCCCATGTCTCCACGTGCAGCTTCTTGCCTACAATATACAGGAACAAGAAAATCGTTTGAGCATACTGAGCAATGGTGTTGGCCCAAGCTGAGCCCCTGCAAAGGAAAGGAGAAACACTGTCTGCATCCTGCTCACACCTCCCCTGCACAACCGCTCCTGCTCTGATGGTGACAGAGGGTAATGGTGTGCCAGCCCCAAGGTGCCGGCTCCCAAAGGCAGTCCTTTCTGAAAATACCGTGTTTCTCAAGGAAAAAAAGCCTGTTTCCTTTAAACCACTTGCTGTTTTGGGCCCTTGGGATGAAGCTGCAGTTGCAATGTGGGCTTTTTTTCCCCCCCATGGGACTCAAGCGCTACTCACGCGATGCCCAAGCCCAGCACATAGATAAAGATGCAGTTTGCCACCACGTTGACAGCGTTGCCAAGGATGCCGCTCAGCACTTGGGGCCACGTGATCATCTGTAAAGAAGAGGAGGCGCCTGCATCGCTGTTGCAAGAACCACAGAAGAGATGCAAAGGCCCCTGCTCGACCCGTTCTAAGCTCATGACCTCTACACAAGAGAGCAGACTTGTGACTTTAGTCACCTACTTTGAAAATGATGGCGCAGGAGGTAAATCCCCAATACGGGAAGGTCCATCGGGTACAACTGTCCCTGTGACATGAGTGATCTCCAGGGAAGAACTTGGAGCCACCGGCAGTGGTGGGCACTACTTGCCAGGACTGTGGCTGAGAGGAGCCCCGTGCCCAGAGCAGATGACCCTCCGTAGATGTGAGTGTTATGGGCCACCTACCTGGTTCTGTAGGTATCTCGTCTCCAAGTGATACAGAAAAACTGCCTGAAAGGCAAATTGGTGCGTGAGGCTGAGCCCGTGCTCAGCGTGGGCTGCTCTGCCGTGGCTGGAGTGCTGTGCCCCTGCCTGGCTGCAGCCCTGGCGCTGCCCCGCGCGCTCCCGTCCTCCCCAGCAGCGCCCGTCCCCGGCGGCAGCGCGAGCACTCACGGGAAGCGACGGGATGAAGGCCATCACGTAGACCTGGGTTAGCCTGGGGGGACACGAGAGGGCCCGCTGAGCGAGGGGGCCAAGGCTGCTGTCCCCTCAGGCAGGGCCAAGGTGATGGTGTCGGCGGCTGGCCCAGCCCCGGGGGCACCCCACCCTCCTGGCGGACGAGGAGCAGGAGCTGCTCGATGTTGATGAGGATGGCGCAGCAGGGGAAGCAGCACAGCAGGAGGATGAGGATGGCACGCTGCAGGATGACCCCCACGCGCCGCAGGTTCTTGCTGCCGTAGGTCTGTGCGGCAAGAGGGTGGCTGTGAGGCCTGGTGTGCCAGGGAGCTGCAGGGCCCCATGGACAGGGAAGCAGCCCTGACCCCAGCCCATCCTGGAGGCAACTTGGAAAGAGTCGGAATTCCAAGGAGAACTTGGAGCTCCCTGCCAGTCGGCTCTGGGGGTGCTGATCCCGCAAAACGTGGCGGCTCCAGGACACGCGGCAGCATCTCCAACCCACCTGGGATATCAAGGTGTCACATGCTGAAGACAAACCATATCCTACAGAGATGGCGGTAACATTTATAACCTGGAAGGAGCAGCGGAATAAACAAATATGAGTACGTATGATATTAGACTTTCATGAAGAGGAGAGTTCCTAAAAGTCAGAGTCCAAAGTCTCCTCAGTCCTCGTCTATCCCCATGTCACAGGACAGGTCCCCCAGCCTCCGTCTCCATAACCATACTGCAGCATTATCGGTTCAGAAACAGTGCCTGATTGGTGCTAAGGAAATACTTACAGCGATGGCCAGTGTG